AAAAGTTTGATAAATCCCCCTAAGCCTCAGATGTTAAAATGCTTTTGAATTTAGCTTTAGCTTAGAGAGGCATGGTTCATGTTTGTGCTGGATGTAATCACCTCAGTGAGTGAAGTATGAAGCTGCAAATATGGCCAGCACTCTTCTGCACAAATGTTCATGGTCCTTTCATGAAACTCTTAAGATTTTTAAGGACTTTGATCTTGGTGCTTCTGGAAGGCATTCCCAACAGGACTTAGATTTCGGTTTCTGACTTTCTCTGGAGTTCTAATCTCCTGTGTTAGCTTATAAGGCTCATTTTCATAAACAATTAGCAGGATGCACAGAGCATCACTTGGAAGAGCCGTGTAGTCTTTGGAATAGGCTACTGACTTCAATACTGTAAATGATAGGAGACTCCAGTTACACTTCTTAGGGGCCAAGATTATTGGTAGTGGGATTTGGAAAATTCTTCCTGAGCCAAGTCAAATAATGTTGGATTCTTCTTTCCTGATGCTTGTTATGTTTCCATTTCTAGAAGACTTTATCATAAAAATAGGCCATCTTCCATGGGGTGCCTGGGTGGCTCAGTTGGTTAGGAGTCCAATTCTTGGTTTCAGCTCAGGTCATGATGTCAGGGTGGTGAGATGGAGCCCCGCTTTGGGCTCCCTGCTTGGCATGGTCTGCTTGAGATTCTCTCCCTCTCCTTCTGCCCCTCTCCCCATTCATGCACTTGCTTGCTTGCACACCTATCTCCCCCCCCCCCCCCCCCCCGCCAAAAATCAGTATCTGGGCACATGTACTAAGTGCTTGGCACTGTGCTAAGTATTTCACCTGCGTCAATTAATTATATGGTATAGATATTACTCTAAAATTGTATGGATGGGTTAATGGAGTCTTTTAACAGTAGAAAAAATTAGAGAGTCACTTAGTTCTATTTGACATTAGGATTTATAATTTTATCAGTATACTTTGCCACCTCTGTTTTCTCAAAATAAGTTTTCGGGCTTAAGGAGTCTACACACCTTCTAGTGGTTAAGAACTATTTTATAGATTTAAAATAATGCATTTTAAAAATAACCTTTCCCCATGAGTTGCCTAATGGAAGGAGGCTCTGAATTGGATTGTGCCACTAGCTACTAGTTATCCTCATTTACTCCAAATATCTTCTCATTTCCTGGTTTTCCAGTCCTGCATACTTTGCTCTTGCTGTTTTTCCTCAGTAATTTTGTATCCATTGGTATAGTTCAATATCCAGTCTTCCAATATATGTTTATTAAATGATTCATTTTATACTAGAATGTTCCTAAGAAACATTCATATTTTTTAAGATTTTATTTGAGTTGGAGAGCGTGTGTACATGTTCATGCTTGCAAAGTAGGTGGGTGGGGGAGGGGCAGAGGGAGAGGAGGAGAGAGAATCTCTAGCAGAATTCTCATTTAGTGGCAGTCCAGCAGGGGGCTCAGTCTCAGGACCCTGAGATCATGACCTGAGACAGAAACAAGAGTCATTCACTCAACCAACTGAGCCACCTAGGCATCCCTCTTTTAAGTTTTTGTCTGGTGATTTTTTTTCACACTTGAAAAGAAATTAGAATCTTGAAATTTGAGAAATCGGAAAGCCATAATGCCTGACCTAATTTGATGATTGTATGATCTGTAGTGTATCAGTTGCCACTCAACCCTTGAGTTAACAGACCATCAGTAATAACATAGAACAGTGGTCTTGAGATTATGTGGTATCATGAAACTTCATGCTACAACTGCCAGTGTTTTCTTTGGCCCTTAAAGAACTCTATTGTCTCTGTTAGACTACTCTAATACATCAGTTCATATAGGAACACTTGATCTGATTTGGTCTACATAGCCCTGCTAATGTAGTGAATGTGTTTAGGGCATACTTGACATACTGTTTGACTAATGGTGATTTTTTAAGTGTGGTGCCAGACTCGTGTGAGATTCAACCATGGTTTTCTCCTTTCCTTTATCCCTCAGATTCTGAAGGTGGCCATGGAGAGTGGTAGTGTGCGTACCTGAGAGGAGAACTATCAGTCTGCTTGATTTAATTTAGAAATTAAAAAAATACAAAAAGTTAATAGTCGATAGCATTTTGGAACCTTGAGTGTATGAGAGATACTGTTTTAAGCTTTCTCACAACTCTGTTATAGGTTCTCTTATTATAATAATTTTATAGATGAGTCTATGCACAAAGATTAAATAACTCCATTCATGTAATTCCCAGATGTTTGGAGTTGGAATTTGTATTCATACCATTTGATAAGAATGTCTCTGAATTACATCATATACTATAGCTATTCTTTATTCTTGATGCTTTCTTTCATTAATGCAAAATAGCTCAATATAGGCATTCATAAATCGAGTTTGCTAATTTAGTTTGCAAAATTTCAAAATATCATTGAATGTTTATCATAGTTGTCAAATTATACACTAATGTGGAAAATAATTTTCAAAACTTCTTTGGAAAAAAACACCTTACTTTTGTATACATAGAGGTTCAGATTTCGAATAACAATGCTTTTTAAAAGTATTTAAAATTCCACTTCATGTTAATCAGTGCATTGTCATCTTGGGAGGAAAAATACCTTGGGAAGATAGAAGTCCCCTAAATGGACTCCAGATTGGTTATCTAAACATGTAACTGAAATAACATTTGCATTTATCCTACTTAAGATAAAGTATATTGGTGTTTTCATTAATGGCTATAATATTTCCAACGGAAAAAACCATAGGTGATGTTGGTCTTGTATGCAATGGATTTTGTTCCTAGAATGTAGATAAAAACAAAAGCAAAAATTGCTCAAAACCAGTGAATAACCCCACCTGGCACAGAGCAGATGTACAAACTGGGAAGTATCATGTATGCATCCATTGTCATCTTAGCTAACTCCTTGGTCCTAAAACATTGGGTGGATTTGGCTTTCGGTTATTAAGAAAAAAAAAAAAAAAGATTGAGTTGTTCTTTGTGCTCAGAATAATGAAACTGGGTATATACCCCAAAGATACAGATGTAGTGAAAAGAAGGGCCATATGTACCCCAATGTTCATAGCCGCAATGGCCACGGTCGCCAAACTGTGGAAAGAGCCAAGATGCCCTTCAACAGATGAATGGATAAAGAAGATATGGTCCATATACACAATGGAATATTACTCAACCAGCAGAAAGGATGAATACCTAATTTTTACATCCAAATGGACAGGACTGGAGATTATGCTGAGTGAAATAAGTAAAGCAGATAAAGTTAATTATCATATGCTTTTACTTACTTGTGGAACATAAGGAATAACATGGAGGACATTAGGAGAAGGAAAGGAAAAGAGAAATAGGGGAAATTGGAGGGGAGACAGACCATGAGAGACTGTGGACTCAGAAACAAACTAAGGGTTTTGGAAGGGAGAAGGGCAGGGGGATGGGTGAACCTGGTGGTGGGTATTAAGGAGGGCACGTATTGCATGGAGCACTGGGTGTGATACATAATGAATCTTGGAACAATGAAAAAATAAATTTTTTGAAAAAAAGTTCAGAATATAAGAATGAGCAATTAAGTGGAGTACCTATGTATAGTTACCCTGCATTATAAAACTTTTCATATAAAGTTGATTCTTAACAATGTTGATCCTAAGCTGTGGTATGTTTATTCCTTATAACTTGGTAGATTTTAGAGTTGTCATAAAAATTATCTTAAACTGGGATTTCTTTAGGATGAACAATTCAGCAAATACCTTTTAACCTACCCTATATCCACAGGCACCATGCCAAAAATGGGTTGTCTGTGGGCAGGCTGCTGCAGAACCACCTGGGACACTTAAAGACAAAAATATATGCCTAGAATTCTGCCCCAGAGATGCTGATGCAGTAGGTCTGAGGTCATGCCATAGAATCTGCGTATTCTCCTGGATCTCCGTGGTTAGCAATGAGTTTAGAAGAGTAGTTTTCACCTGGGGTAACATTTGACAATGTCTGGAGATTTTGGTTTTCACAACTGGGAGGGTGTATGTGCTGCTGACATCTAGTAGGTAGAGGTCAAACATGCTGCTAAATGTCTTCCGGTGCACAAGAAACAAATACCTATGCAAAGTGTCCAACCTAAAATGTCTAATAGTGCCAATATGGGTCTAGAGGCTACAAAGATCCCTACAAAGTTCATAATTAGGATGAGTAAAAGATACAGAAAATACCTTGTATAAATGAATAAAAAGTCACTAGCTCAAAGAATCAAATACAGAATTTACAAAATTTCTTAAGTTCTTTACCTCAAGATTTATTGGTTGCTTTATGGTATGACTAGAGACCTTCTAGTTAAAGTTTGTGAAAGAAATTTTGAATTATCTGAAATTAATAGGATATCTATAATGGGAGTTACCTGGATAGATTATGCCTATACTTGAAAAAAATATTTAAAAATTTTCTCCTGAAATGTTAATAAGGATAACAAATATAACAAATATATGTATAATATATATAATTATATAATATATAACATAATATATATAATATATATAACAAATATAACAAAAATAACAAATTATTTTTTAAAATACTGGTAATGAAGCAAAAATAGGACTGTTTCCAGAAGTGCCATTCAAACAAAAGAAATTAAAATCAAGGAAGAATTCACATGATATTCATGGTTTTGTCCCTTTTTTGTCCTCGTTTTACTCTTACACATTCTTTCCTAGTTTTAGATCATTCCTAGAGATCAGATACTCGCAAGCTTATGTACAATAAATTACTGGAAGTTATTTTGGTTGCTGTCAGTGCAACCAAATTGAATTAATAATGAAACCAATTAAATCTTCAGATACCCCCACTGGCAACCTTAAACGTTTAATTTCTAGAGAGAAATAAGGTTAGTGGTGTTGAACACCTTTTCCAATCACAGTGATAACCAAATTTTCAGACATCGGGGGATTCTGCTATTTTGTTGAAGTACAAGCAACAGACTGATTTAATCAAAATAATAACAAAAGAATTCTTTTTTTTTTTTTTTTTTTTTTTTAAAGCGGTCTCCTGTATCTCTGATGATAACCAGTCGGCAGAAATGATGGAATGCCTCAAGCAGACAAATGGCATGCCTCCCCTTGTACAAGAATGCACAGTCCCGTGTCGAGATGACTGCACCTTCACAGTTTGGTCCAAGTTTACTCCGTGCTCCACAAATTGTGAAACAACCCGAAGTCGACGGCGACAGCTCACAGGTAGGGTATACCTTTCATTTCTTAGCTTCAGACAGGGATGCATTTCTGAACCTGCAAAAGAAAATGGAAAGTCCAAGAATACTAGAAATTATATTGGGTCTCTCCTTTTCTCAGCCCTTGGTAGACTTTAGAGTGGTCATAAAAATTATGCTTCCTGATGCTATGTATCTAATGCACCTATGCCTGGCACATAATATGTACTAAATTAATACTTGTGAAATGAATGATGTGAACCATTCTACAGCTGCGAAGTTCCTCTCTATATGGCTTTATAATCTTTACAGTGGTAAATGGCAACATAGCCACCCGCTACCTTGGAGTAGTTAATGGCAAAATTTCTGGCATGTGGTCATGCCAGGATCTTGGCAGGGTTGAAAGCAGTGACTGATGTGTAAAATTCCTCAATAGGCAGATCTAATCTAGATCATTCTCTTTTGCCATTACTTTATAAACAATTTGATATTTTAGAATTTTAGTTGTAAGATAAAAGTCAAATTATATATGTAGGTTCTGCTTTTGTGGTATATTATTTTGGCTCTGTTTACATCCATGCGATTTAATGGATATAAAAGCAATTAATAGTTGCATGAAGGTGCTGGGGCTATTTTTGCCTATAATGTACAAATAATTGATGCAGTATAGTATATTGTATTTCTTGGCTAGATAAATATCCCACAGTTTCTTTCTTTTTTTTTTTTTTTTTTAAAGATTTTATTTATTTATTTGACAGAGAGAGAGATCACAAGTAGGCAGAGAGACAGACAGAGATGAGGAGAAGCAGGCTCCCCGCTGAGCAGAGAGCCCGATGCGGGACTCGATCCCAGACCCCTGGGATCATGACCTGAGCCGAAGGCAGAGGCTCAACCCACTGAGCCACAGTTTCTTTTAGTTGTATTTGAATATGCAGAAAACTTAATTTAGGTAATAAAGACCCAAAGGAAAAATGCCAAAATAATCATTGGGATAATATAATTGTTGTTGACATTGAAGAATTAAGCACAGAAGACCATTTGTTATTACAAGAAGTTCAAGAGCTAATTCTCTCGGTTTCAAATTCCCCTTGTTTGAATGTATGGCTTACAAGATTATGTTTTAAATTTAACTCTAATGGATTTAATTAATCGATGAGAGCTTGTAATGGGGTTTCTACACATAAATCAGAAGCCCATTCATGAGTAGGTAAACTCTATAATCAAATAGAAACAACAAATATGCTGTACTTTGTGTTCTCTTCTACAAAAATCTATGAATACATAACTTTGTACAACACTGCTTGTGTTTCTAAGATGAAAAAAGTTCTAGGGAATATAACGGGGTGGAATGTGTTTGACAGGAGTAATTTCAAGTTCACCGGCAGCAGTAAAACTTGGTGTGCACGTTCATGCATAAGGCTTCAGAAGCCATCATCCTGGCAATTCTCCATCTTTGGGATAAGAATATCCTTTAGAGGGAAAACAAAGTTTTAATTACTGGCCAGTTTTCTGTTCTTGAGTGTACTAATAGTATTTTATACCTGCAAGTTGACAATGGGAATATAGAAGAACCTAAAATATTTATTGAACTAGTACAGTTTATTTTGAACTGTCAAAACTAAGTAAGCATTTGGCTTATTTAAAATACACTTTTTACATAAATATTGGAAGAACCATTGTACATTTTTCTCTAAACTCTATCCTAAGAATTACTCCTACTAAAATAAAATTACTTAGAATTTTTCTAAACCATTGGTTATGCTTTTTGCTGGGTAATTGATCTCTGTGTGTCTTCATGTCTTGGAGACACCAACTGGTCAATTTCATGAAACACATGAGATGTAGGGGGAAAAAAACCCAACAATTCTGTATCACTGAGTGTGCAGTAGGCAGTAGTGAATTGAAATTTTTTACTTAAGACATTTTTATTGTTGCGGTACTATGTTTGTATTTCAGTCTCTCACATGTAGTTTGGTGGTAAACTCAATCTCTTACATGAATGGTAGTAAAAGGTGGACTTAGACCATAAAACTGCGATTCTCTTTAATACAGACACATAAAGAAGCATGTAGACAAAAATACAAGCTACTCCATGGAATAAGGGACCATCTAGTGTTTTTCTCTTTTCCATTTTTAACATGAAACTTCAGTTCAGTTCTGGATATCTTGGGTGTTGTACCTAAACTAGATCATCACAGGTTTTGGATTGAATGGTATTTATAGCAGTTGTTTATAAGTGCTGAAAATAATCTATTGGTAGATTGGTTTAGGTTATTAATATGCGAAATAACTGGATAAATAAAACATTTAATAGTTTTATGTTATTGAAACAAAAGTTACAAATTTCCATCTCACTTAAGAGGGGGGAATGTCTTTAAATTGTATTAGGGATTGGTTTTCTTTTTCTTTTCTTTTTTTTTTTTTTTATTAAAGATTTTATTTATTTATTTGACAGAGATCACAAGTAGGCAGAGAGGCAGGCAGAGAGAGAGGAAGGGAAGCAGGCTCCCTGCCGAGCAGAGAGCCTGATGCGGGGCTTGATCCCAGGACCCTGGGATCATGACCTGAGCCGAAGGCTGAGGCTTTAACCCACTGAGCCACCCAGGTGCCCCATCTTTTTCTTTTCTTTCTTTCTTTCTTTTTTGTTATTGTTGTTTTGTTAACTTGTGTTTTAGTAGTAAACTAGTTCTTAATCCAAAAGATTAATACTGATTTTCTTTTTCTTTTACTATAATGTTATCAAAGTAGAGGACCACTAATAATTTGTTTCTTGAGAACCATTTCTGTATTAACATACTCAAATCCATCCTCAAACAGTGATGTCCTCTATTTAAGGTTATCCCAAATACAGAGAGTGCGTATATTCATACAGAATACTTGTTCTGCCAGAAACTTTTGCTTGCCTTATAGATGAATATTTTTCTTCTGTTTCTTGCTCTCTCACTTACTCCTTTTGTCTTCCTTTTTCCCCTACCCCACTTTTTAAAATCTCCTTTTCTTTTCTTTTTTTTTTTTTTTTAAAGATTTTATTTATTTATTTCTCAGAGAGTGGGAGAGCACAAGCAGGCAGAGCGGCAGGCAGAGGCAGAGAGAGAAGCAGGCTCCCCACCGAGCAAGGAGCCCGATGCGGGACTCGATCCCAGGACCCTGGGATCATGACCTGAGCCGAAGGCAGCGGCTTAACCCACTGAGCCACCCAGGCGCCCCAAAAATCTCCTTTTCTTAATGAACATTTTTCTTGACCACTTATGCATGCTATGCCTTAGGAATACTACTAGGGAATAGACATGATCCTCATTTAAGAGTTTATAGTATAATGGAAGATAGAGATTTTATTACAATTAAAACACAATATAGAATTTCTGACAAAAGCTGTTGTATTAGTGCTACATTAAATTCTTATTGCTATAACAAATTACCACAAATTTAGTGGCTTTAAAATAACACAAATTTATGATCTCCTAGTTATGTAGGTCTAAAACAAACTTCAGTTTCACAAGGCTGAAAACAAGATGTTGGTGGAACTGTATAACTTTCTGGAGGCTCTAGGGGGAAATGCATTTTTTTTTTCTTCCCCCTAGCTTCTAGAGGCTATCCATATTCCTTGGCTAATGACTCTTCTTCCATCTTGAAATTCAGTAACCTTATGTGTGACTATCTCTTAGGAAAGGTTTTCTAATTTTAAGACCTGTGATTAGGTTGTACCCACCCAGATAATCCAGAATAATCTCCTCTCAAGGCCCATTATCCCAGTCACATCTACAAAGTCCATTTTGCCGTCTAAGGTAGCATAATTACAAATTCCAAAAACTGGGGAGCGAACATACTTGGAAAGGCAGTTTGTGATAGGCAGAATAAGGACCGTACAGAAGAGTACCTTTTACATACCTGAGGTGAAGCATCTCAAGAATGGCTTTCTGGCAAGGGTAAGGTATTAGTTTGGACTTCAAGGACAAGTAGACATTAACTAGACCACGGAGGGAGGTTGGAACTTAAGATAACTTTTGGCGTAAGAAATGCAAAGGCCGGTAGGGAGAGGGTGGTTGTGTTACAGACACTGGGGAGGGTATGTGATGTGGTGAGTGCTGTGAGATGTGTAAGCCTGACGATTCAGACCTGTACCCCTGGGGCAAATAATACATTATGTTCATAAAAGTAATTAAAAAATGCAAAGGCCAGAAACCAATGAGTAATTTCCAGGAACTGAAAGATGTGCAGTATGTCTAGCTTGTAATATGCCAGAGGCAGAATGACACAACTTAGATAGGAGGCAGGTCCTAATGGTCTCGGTACTGCAGAGCCTTGATGACCATAGCAGAGGGTCTAGACTTCATTCCATGAAATATGGTAAGTGAATGAGGAGTTTTAGGTAGATAAATGATGTGATCGAATTTCCATCTTTGTGAGCTGCTTCTAGTTGCAGTGTGGGCAAAAGACGGGGAATATGAAGTACAATGGCTATAAAATACTGGAAGAAGGTGTTGTGGGGATTTAAGAGATTTGGAGATGGGCTACATATGGGTGGTATTGGTCAGAATGGAAACAAGGACTGATTCAAGAGATAGTCATTTAAAATGATAGATCTTTGTCATTAAACAGATAGATGCAGATAGTACAATAGAATTCAAGCGTGACATTTTAGATTTTGACTTGGCCTTCTTGATATAATTGGGAAATGAAGATGGAGAAAGGAAGGCCCAGGTGTGAAGAGGTTGAGTATGAATTTTGCCAAGTTGAGTTTGATAGGCCCTTTAGGTTCTAGTCTGTGGCTCAGAAGCTTGAGCTAGAAATCTAGAGATATAGAGGGTCCTTTAAACTCGTGAGTGAAGATAATGGATCAGAAAAGAAGAGAACCTAGGACAGTGCCCTGAGAAAGCCCATCAGTTAAGAGATGTAGAGAGGGGAAATAATGCAACAAACAAATGCGAACTTCCCAGAGGGATAGCGGGGGTGAGGGACAAAAAGGTAAGATACAATGGAATTTGGGAAGAGTATTTCAACAGTGATGGTGTTATCAACATTCTGAAAAATCATTGAACGATTAAGCCTGAAGGTAACGTAGAGAGACATTCCAGGGCTTCATTTGTTTTATTACTTTGTCAATAGTAAGTAGAGTGTCAAGAAATAGGTGGACTCTGAATCCAGGCTTAAATGAGTTGAGAAGAGAATAGAAATTGAAGAGATGGAGACATTTAAGAAGCACCAGAGACTTCAGTATGCTGGGTGCTGGTAGGAAGAAACCAGTCACCACACATAGACCTATCTTTCAACCAGTAAATTCTCACTGCCATAAAGACTGTGTTTCTCAAACATTTTCTCATTAAGTGCTCCTAATGGTAAAGGCAAGTGAATATATCTTCCCAGAGAGAGAGAGTGGCATGGCTGAAGTTCCAGCAACATCTTTCAGACCCTGCAGGAATCATTATTTATTATGACCGTAAGCAACATGTCAGACCATAGAGCCAGTCATCCAGGCAATAACTATAAAATTATGTATAAATTCTTTGACAATGAGATAATATCCCATGCATCAGCTTGAATCAAGCTTTTCTAAAACCCCTATAAACACTGGGAATAAGACCAATAAAGCAGCCTACTTCATATTCTTTTATAACCAGCCAAGACTCTAGCTGATGACTTATTAATGATGAAACAAAATACAATCAGATCTATTAGAAAACGTTTAGGAATCTAGTAGAAGTGTGTTGGCAGGAAAGTTGAATCAAGTTACATGCGGACTTGAAATCCCATTAAATGTGATTATCAAGTACTCAGCAATGAGAAATGATTCTGTATTCTCATTACTCAAAGACAGGATCACAGCTAAAAGCTCCATCAAAGTCAATTGGTTAAGGTAAAGTCATATTCTAGAATACTTAAGTTAAAGTCTTTCAAAGTGGAAATCATAACTTTTTCTCAGATTAAATTACCCAACATTATTTGACCATTTATTTCCTTTTATTGTGTCAGCATTTGTGAGCTGCCTGATGGCAAGGACTAAAATAAGTTCGACTTTGTCACTCTCACCCCAAGTGGTACCTAGCCTCACTCCAGGGCCATTGGATGAGATATCATTTTTTTCTTTGAATAAATAAACTGTTTCCAAAAACGCGCATCAAAATGACAGGATGTTACTATTTCCAGTGTTTTGTTGGTTTCCCTGGAAACCATTAATTTTCAGGAAAACAAAGTAATCTGTTTGTTCTTAGCAACACGTTATAGAGAAAATCATATAAACAAAAACTTTCCAGCTGTTGAGTCACTGTAGCAAACAGCTTTCAGTTTCTTTTTTTTTTCTTGCCACTATCCAATATAAACCATTTTTAAATTTTTTCCAAATTATCTTTATTATTATTTTTTGTTTGACAGAATATATGAGCGGGGGGGGGGGGCACCAGGCAGAGGGAAAGGGAGAAGCAGGCTTCCTGCTGAGTAAGGAGCCTGATGTGGGGCTTGGTCCCAGCCAAAGGCAGATGTTTAATAGACTGAGCCACCCAGGCGCCCCTCAAATTAACTTTAATTTCAGTTTCTTTGAGAATTGCTTCCATTGTCCTAGGATTTGCTTTCATGGAAAAAAAAGGGGGGGGGTTGTGGAGAAGGGCAGGGGAAGGCCATATTTTATTTGATGTTTAGTAAATAAACATTAGTAAAGTCAATAATGTGACTTTCAACAAAACAGATTGGAAATTAATATATCAATGTTTTGTTTTATTTTGTTTTTGAAACAGGGAAAAGCAGGAAGAAAGAGAAATGCCAGGACTCTGACCTGTACCCTCTCATAGAAACAGAACTGTGCCCTTGTGATATATTTATATCTCAGCCTTATGGAAACTGGTCAGATTGCATTCTTCCAGAAGGCAGAAGGGAGTCTCAACGGGGATATCGGGTACAAGGAGACAGCAAAGAATGTGGAAAAGGCCTGCGCTTTCGAGCAATAGCCTGCTTTGATAAAAACGGGAGACCTGTTGACCCCTCCCACTGCAGCAGCTCTGGTAAGGAGATGGATGAGGAGGAACATACACATATAGCCCAGGAGGTGTATCCAAGTCTAGAATTAGTAGCTTTGTTCTGTAATATTTCTTTCAGTTTTCCTTTGTTAATGACGCACTGCCTTTCATAAAATATAGGCATTTGGAATACATGTGTCCATATTTCACTGATTATTTGGAATGTGATTATTTTGGATCTTTGACTCTCCTCACTCTATACTTGACCACTGACCACTTAGTTAACTGTGGATGAGTACAGTTGCTTTACTTAATTAGAAAAGCTGTATTTAATACAAAATATATTTTGTGGTGGTCTTTGGTGCTCTGATCATACGCATAGAAAGAATCAGGCCTTGAATTTCTTCTAAGGTAGTTGACAAATTACCAATGAAAACGTTGACTTAAAATGTTTTGCAATGCACTATATAAGTATACCCAAACTAATAGAATAAAACTGTAGAAAAAAGCCATCAGGGAGAATTTTGTGAGCTATTAATCAGGGAGAAGACTGCCTTTTTTTAACCTTGGGAGAATTTGAAAGAGGGGTGAATGGAGAAAAGAATGAGACTCAATCTAGTCGGGATGAAGATTGATAGGGGATGCTGAGACTAGTGATTACAATGGAACAAACATAATGAATTCCAAACTCTAGTTTGTGACTTATTTTTTTTATAAGACTAAAATGGTAAGGAATTTTACAGAGCATATGAAAGAATTCATATTTGGCAAACTCTAGGAGGAAAAAAGATTTTGGTCTCTATCATCAAAGTATTTGTTTTAATAAGCTTTCTCAATAATAATTATGATGAGTTGAATTCATTTCTGTTATAGAAGTTGGGTAAATGACAGTTTGTCTTCATAGTCAATGGATTAACTGTTGAAGATATGCCTGTATCATCTTGTGAATGCAACCTAAGGCTTAATAACCCTTTAATTGGTGATATCATTGACTCTGCTTCCTGGGTTACTCTATAAAATTTTCTTCAGTAGCTTGACTCAGAGAAACATTATACACATCAGAAGCAAGCTGTGGACTCATTTTATGGAAGCCAAAACTGGTTGACTTTAATTTTTGGTTTTGGTTTTTATATATGTATTGGTTCATTTTCCAAAACTAGGTTTTCCTTTTTCCCATTGAAATATATTTGACTTCCAATGTGTAAATTTAAGGTTACAGTATGTCCGTTTGATTATTCATATGGTAGTGATTAGCACTATAGTGATAATTAGCATCGCTATCACATTACAGAGTTATTTCTTAGTGGTTGGAATAATTAAGTACCAGTCTTTTAACAAGTTTGATTATAATACAAAATTGGTGTGTGTATTCACTATACTGTACATCAAATCTCTAGGACTTATGTACTACTCATTATAAATTTAAACAGTTTAATAATATCTGTCCTAACCACACCTCCCCATCCCTTATCTCCTGGTAACCACCATTTTACTGTTTTTACCAATTTGACTTTAAATTCCACATATAAGTGATACCCTACAGTACATGCCTTTCTCTAACTTACCTTACTTGCTATAATGTCCTCAGGGTCTATCCATATTGTCATAAATGATAGGATATCATTTCTATGGCCAAATGTTTTACTTTTTAATATATGAGATATATTTTATCAAATATAGATCGCATCTTCTTATCCATTCATCTGTTGATGGGCACTTAGGTTGTTTCCATATTTTGGCTATTGTGAAAAATGTTGCAATGAACATGGGAGTATATATATTTCTTGGATACTCTATTTTCATTTCCTTTGGGTATATACCCAGCTGTGAGATTGCTGTATCCCATAGTAGATCGGTTAATTTTTGAGTAACTTTAATATTATTTAACATAGTGGTTGAGGGAATGTACATTACCACAACAGTGTACAAGAGTTCCCTTTTCTCCACATCCTCCTCAACACCCATTATTTCTTTTCTTAATTAAAAGCATTCTAATGGTTATGGTGTTATTTCACCGTGGTTTTGAGTTGCATTTGCCTGATTATGTTGAGCATCTTTTCCTCTATCTCTTGGCCATTTGGATGTCTTTGGGAAAATGTCTGTTTCTCTTCCTATTTCATAATTAGATTGAAAATGTTCTTTATATATTTTGGGTATTAACCTGCTATCAGATACATGGTTGGCAAAAAATTTCTCCCATTAGCTCTGTTGCCATTTCATTTTGTTGATTGTTTCCTTTGCTATGCAGAAGCTTAAGTTTGATGTAGTCCTATTTTGTTTTGTTTTGTTTTGATTGCTCTGGTGACCTATGAAAAACATTACCAAAGTCAGTGTTAAAGAGCTTCTCTACCACATTTTTTTCTAGGAGATTCCTGGTATCAGGTTTTCTATTTAAGGTTTTGATCTATTTTGAGTTAATTTTTTGAGTGCTGTAAAACAGGGGTCTAATTTCATTGTTCTGCATTGTTCTCCCAACACCATTTGAAGAGACCATTTCCCCATTAGGTGTTATTTCTTCTCTTGTCAAGTATTAGTTCACTGAAAATTCATGTTTGTTTGTTTTTTTGTTATGTATGTCACCATACAGTACATCATTAGTTTTTGATGTAGTGTTCCATGATTCATTATTTGTACATAACAAACACCCAGTGCTCCATGCAATACATGCCCTCCTTAATACCTGTCAACTGGGCTCACCCATCCCCCCACCCTCCTCCCTTTTGAACGCCTCAGTTTGTTTCCTGGAGTTCATAGTCACTAATGGTTGTCTCTGATTTCCCTCCTTCACTTTCCCCTTCCTTCTCCTAATGTCCTCCATGCTATTCTTATGTTCCACAAATAAGTGAAACCATACGATTATTGTCTCTGTTTGATTTTTCATTTAGCATAATCTCCTCCAGTTCCATCCATATTGATGCAAAATTGGGTATTCATTCTTTCTGATGGCTGAGTAATAGTCCATTGTATATATGGACTACATCTTCTTTATCCATTTGTCTGTCGAAGGATGTCTCAGCTCAAAGCAGGAAAGAATATGCAGTGGAAAAAAAAAAACAGTCTTTACAATAAATGTTGCTGGGAAAATTGGACAGCTATATACAGAACAATGAAACTCAACCATTCTCTTAAACCATTCACAAAGATAAACTCTAATAGGTGAAAGACCTGTGAGATAGGAATCCATCAAAATTCTTGAGGAAAAAATGCATGGGTTTATTCTGAGCTCTGAATTCTGTTTCATTGGTCTGTGTTTCATTTTTATGCCAATAATATTCTGTTTTTATTCCAATAACTTTGTAGTATAATTTAAAATCAAGAAATGTGACATTCCCATATTTGTTCTTCCTTAGGATTGCTTTGGCTATTTGGGGTCCTTGGTAGTTCCATTTCTCTCTTTATGTGAAGAATGACATTTGAATGTCAATTCAAATTCAATGACATTGAATGACATTGATTCTATTGATTCTATAGAAGGCTTTATGTAGCATGGATATTTTAACAAAATGCTTCAGAACCACGAACACAGGTTTTTTTTTTTTTTTCCATATGTTGTATCTATTTCAATTTTTTTCAAGTAAGTTTTATAGTTTTCATTGTACAGATCTTTTACTTGGTTAAATTTATTATTATTTATTGTTTTGGTGCTGTGGTAAATGGGATAGTTTTATATTTCAGATGCTTCATAATTAGTGTATAGTAACATAAATGATTTCTGTATGTTGAATTTTTTTTTTATATCTTGGAATTTTACTGAAATTACTTAACTTCAATAGTTTTTTGGCTGAGTCTTTGATATTTTCTATACACAAATTATCAACTGCAAATAGTGACAATTTTACTTTCTTTCTGATTTGGATGCCATTTTTTTGTTTAATTTCTTCAGTTAGGACTTCTTGTACTGTATCAAATAAGAGAGGTGAGAGTGGGCAATTTTGTCTTTTTCCTGTTCTTAAAAGGAAACCTTTCAGTTTTTCTTGAGGAAACTATATTCTTCTGCTAGATGGAATGTTTTATATATGTCAAGTCTATTTGGTTTAAAATACAGTTCAATTATAGCATTTACTTGTTTTTTTTGTTGTTGTTGTTTTTGTTTTTGTTTTTCCTGTTCAGGTGATCTATCCATTACTGACAGTGTGGTGTTGAACGCCCCTACTGTTTTTATATAATTGTCTATTTCTCTCTTCACATTTGTTAGTATTTACTTAATACATTTAGGGGCTCTGATAATGGATGTATATGCATTTATGAATGTTACATTTTGATATGTTGACTCCTTTATTAAATAATCTTGGTTTCTTATTTTTTGTTTTTGTTTTTGCTTTTTGGCCTGGAGTCTATTTTTTCAAAGTATTGCTATTCTTACTTTATTTTGGTTTCTACTTGCATGAGATATATTCTTCTGTTCCTTCAAAATTTGAGTGTATGAGTGTCTTTGAAGATGACACGAGTCTCCCGTACGTATCATATGATTGTCTTGTTTTTCTATCCAGCCATTCTGTGCCTTTTGATTGGTGAATTCAACCCATTTATACTTATAGTGATTATTGATATGTAAGGACTTACCACTGCCATTTTATTATTTGCCTTCTTGTTGTGTATCTCGAGGGTATTTTTCCTTTTTCTGCCTACCCTTGTAAATTGATACTTTTCCACAGTGATATACTCTGTCTCCCCCTTTTTTATTTTGATCAATCTACTCCAGATTTTTGCTTGGCAGTTAAAAAGAAGCTTACTTAAAACTTCTCACAGATAATACTGTCCATTTTGTGTTGATAACTAATCTCCATTTGCCTGTAGATTCTCTACTTTTCACCCCTCCTTTGTATATATCTGATGTCACAGTTTACCTCTTTTATGATTTATGCCTTTATACTCTTCAACAAATTATAGTCACTATGATGATTTTTAATATTTTTAAACTTTTATACTGTAGTTCAGTGGTTAAGACACATTCTAGGGTGCCTGGGTGGCTCAGTTGGTTAAGCGACTGCCTTCAGCTCAGGTCATGATCCTGGAGTCCTGGGATCAAGTCCCGCATCAGGCTC